TATTAAATGCTGATGATTTTCCTCAAAGCTAATCCAGAAAAATGGAAGCAATGGGCCTAACTCACTGTGAAGCAAGCAAATCCATGGTTTTGTAGATTTGACTTGAAAAACCATTCTTTTTTTTAAATTACATTTTAGGTTTTGGGGTACATGTGAAGAACATGCAAGATTGTTGCATAGGTACACACATGGCAGTGTGATTTGCTGCCTTCCCCCCCATCACCTATATCTGGCATTTCTCCCCATGCTCTCTCTCCCCAATTCCCCACCCCCCCATCCCTCCCTTATTTCCCCCCACAGACCCGAGTGTGTGATGCTCCCTTCCCTGTGTCCATGTGTTCTCATTGTTCAACACCCACCTATGAGTGAGAACATGCGGTATTTGATTTTCTGTTCTTGTGTTAGTTTGCTGAGAATGAAGGTTTCCAGGTTAATCTATGTCCCTACAAAGGACATGAACTTATCAGAAAAACCATTCATTCTTATAGATGAATATCAAAAAAGAAAAGGATCAAATGATGTGAGAATCTAGGGAAAAAACAGTAAATTATGGAATATTTCATGGAGGTAGGAATGAAAAATAGAAAAGGTAATCTACAAGAAAAGAATTTGGTCTCTTCCAGTGGGAACATATCATTTGGAGGTTTTTTTATGTTTGCAATTTTTAAGGACAGAGATGCTCATTATGAATGTGTCTGTGTGTTTGGGCTTGGACAGCCTAAGACTTTGTAAATAAGGAGGCTTAGGAGTAGTAATGTGATTAGAAGTGGGCTTGAAGAGATTGGGATTGCTAAGGAATTTGTTTTGAAGTTGTATTGCCTAGTAAACATAGTGTTTTTACTAAGATTTTGTGTTTATTGGGGTGGCTTTGCTAGCATCCTCCTGCTCCATTTCAAGCTATGCTTTTTAGAGTTGTGCTTTTAAACCTTTGAACACTGCCCACATGAGGTATAAAAGTGTTAGCCCAAACTATGTGTATCTGTTGCCATGAGCTAATGACAAATGTAATATACAATAATACACATGTCTAGAAAGTAGGAAGTTCTATATAAGTAAGGGAAATGGATTGCTTTTATTATTATAAAAAGCTTTTATTATAAAGAAAGCCATTATGTCATCTGCCTTATTTTGAAACCATTCACCTTTTATTACTGTAAATTTTGCAATGTCTCATTTTCTCTCCAGCTATCCTCTAGTCCAGTTAACTCAGCAAGCACAAGTTTATGATGAATCATCTTAGCAACCGAAAATTTTTAATGGTTAGCCATGGCAGTCATGTTGTGTAAGAATCTAACTACTTTTAAGTAAAAGGAGAAAGTTCAAAATATAACTCCATCTTTACAAGTGCTTTCATTAAAAACAATCTTATTATGAAAAACAAATTAAAAAAAAAAAAGAAAACTCCCATTGAATGGTAGCTATTTGCAATTTCTTGTTTTGGCTGGATGTATTTGAAGGATTTAGAATTTAATATTTGGGGTGTGCCTTAAGCTGCAAGACTCCCTGACTTTATTCTCATCTAGGAATTTTTGCTGCTACAGACAACTGACAGCATGCAGATCCATACTCTATCTCTTAAGATGTTCCTTTGGAACTGATTCCAAATGAAACTTCTTAGGGAAGATGTGGCTAGAAGCTGGTTATGCAAAGCATGTCTATAGCAAAGCAAGTCAGAAAGGATGGGGGTCAAAAAACTAGTTACAAAATTTAGGGGAGACATTAGATTTAAATAAACTATTCTCCAACCTCAGTGATTAATTTTTCCTTTTTTGATCATCTGGCTGTGTACTTAGAGAAGACGCAGTTCTCTGAAAATGGATTACTTTGAGTATTCTCTGCAATAATTTAATGTTGTGCTTCTTTCTTTGCCAACTGCCTGTTGCTAAGCCACCAACACTTACTGTCCTTAGGAAGGCCTAATATACAATAATCAACATTGTGGAAGGCACATGTATGTACATAAACTTTAACTGGGAAGTTGTCTTTAAATAAAAATGACACAATACACTCCAAAGCTGTGTGTGATTACAGAATGAGAAGCTGACAAACTATTCACATTTATCAAGTAAAGCCTCAGAGAAATATTATGTTTTCACCACTAGGTGGAAATAGAGTAATTTTGAGTATATTTTTTCAAGGCCATGAACTACTACTGCAGGAGTATTTCATAAACTGAAAGGGACCTAAAAAAATCATTTAGTTTTAATTCTCATCTCCTTAACTTCATAGGTGATAAAACTAAGATTCAGAGATAGTAAGTAAAATTGCATCTGTTTTTAAAAAGGCAGTTTTCTAAGCCACTAGAAGAAGAGTTGCTAGTAACTCTTGATTCTGCAGTCATTTTCATTCATAAGAAGAATGTGTTATTATCTTCCAGTATGAGGGAAGACATGATATAACACCTGTATTACCTATGTGTTACTAAAAATAATGACCAGCACAGTTACTAAGGTTTGTAAGGACAGGTTAGGATAAAACTATTGTTTCTTGTTTCCCATATTGTAATTAATCACAATCAAGTGATAATTCTCCTTCTTTCCAACATGGAAATACTCAACCATCCCCTTAAAGTTACATGAGACTTCAATGAAATTTGTTTTCACAACATTTTTGGTTTTACACCTCATAATGGGTGCAAGGTAAGAAGGCTTTTACTTTGCAGGTGAAGGGAGTACTTACTACCTTTTCAGAGCTTAAAATCCATTACCATTATTCTTGAGAAGGAAAGAGAATCTGAGTAGTAGAGCTTAAGGGGCATTAGGAATAATCTACTCCAATCATACATCTGTATATTCATCAGATGAGGCATCTGAAAACAAGACATTAAATGTGTTTCCCTGAAGAGCAGAGCAATCCCTATGCCCTTCTTTGTTCCACAAGTCACAATAACAGTTATTATTTTGGCCTTATATCTTTGTTTTGTCTGTGCCGTTTAACACAAAAGGATTATTACCACCTCGAAGACTGTGTAAAAAAAACAAAAAAAAAAAAACCAAAAAAAAAACCTTAAGTTTTAGGTAAGGCCTTGAGGTTAAAGGCTGTTTCTTAAGTACCTAAGTATTGAGTACTCCAGTGTCATTCTCTTTTTGGTATTTCTGTAACATGTTTGATTATGATAATTTAAAAATTAGTATGAGAGTGCTACATCCTGACTATTATTACAATATTCTACACAGAAATGGATAAAAAATGTTGAAATGACACATTAGCTCAAGTTCAAACACACAGGAGCTCCCTCCCTAGCAGTTGCCTTAAGTGCCTGGGAGCCAGCGTTTTCCATCACTGAGCAAATGATGCACTCAGCTTCCCTCCGAACACAAATGTTTTCTGAGCAGTAGAATTTAATATTTAGGGTGTGCCTTAAGCTGCAAGATTCCCTGACTTTATTCTCATCTGGAAATTTTTGCTGCTACAGACAACTGACAACATGCAGATCCATACTCCATCTCTTAAGATTTTCCTTTGGAACTGATTCCAAATGAAACTTTCTTAGGGAAGATGTGGCTAGAAGCTGGATATGCAAAGCATGTCTATAGCAAGGCAACCCAGAAGGAGTGAGGGTCAAAAAAGTAGTTGTAAAATTTAAGGGAGACGCTAGGTTTAAATAAACATATTCTCCAACCTCAGTGATTAATTTTTTCCTTTTTTGATCATCTGGCCATGTACTTAGAGAAGACTCCTTTCTCTGAAAATGGACTACTTTGAGTATTCTCTGCAATAATTTAATTGCAGGTGTGGGACATGTAGACCCTTACTGGGAAAATAATTGAGTGTTAATGTGGTACTACAAGGAAGACTGGGGTGATTCTAAACTTAAGGCAGGGACCGGTAACTGTGGTTTCTACTCAGAGCTCCATCACAGCTACCCTGGGCCCGAGGCAGTCAGGTGTGGTCCTATTTCATAAGGTGTTCAGTGAGTCGGACCTGGATGGGGATTCTGGTTCTACCACTGTGCGAACTTTCTTTGCCCTATTTTCTCTTTTGAGAAATTGGGGTAACACCCCTAGCAAAAATTTAGTGGAGGTCAATATCAATAAAGTGCCCAGGAAGAAGCAAAACTGGCACTTAGTAGCTACTCAACAAATGCACATTATCTCTATGGAAACGGCCAGCCTGTGTGGCAACTTCCTCATCACAGTCCAGCTCACCTCCAGCTGGGACCCGGTAGCACCAAGTAATAAATTGCCAAAAGTACACTTTGAAACGTATTATGTTCTACGCACATGCGTAGGGTATTACTACAATTCAAGAGAAAGAGAAAATCCGCCGGCGTCTGAGAAGAAACCGTTAAGGGTGGATTACGAAGGGAATATAAACTAATAAAACATTCTTGAACGGCAATGACAATCACTGAAGTTGACACTGAAGTTGACACTTTCTACAGACTTTTAGTTTAGAAACCGCACTTCCCGAGACGTCCCCCATCCCAACAGCCACTTCTCATAAAATCCTCTAGCTCAACTCAGGGATATGCCCACTTTTGGGCCAGGAAGATCAGCGGATGGGGAGAGCGGGTTCTCTAGGGAGGGTGCGGAATGTGGGTTTGTCCGCTGACAAGGAGTAGAAGGTCAGGGAGGCACCGTAGTTAATCAATCAATAAACCCAACAGCCATCAATCACTTCCTGTAGTCCCAGCCCGGCGAGGGCTAATCGATTGTTCTGGGTATTTTGAAAGGAAAAACGGCGGTGGATAGGCTGTCAAACGGAGGGGCGCAGGAGCGGCGGGGCCGGGCCTCCAGGTGCCCCCTCTGGCTTCCTGGGCCTGCAGAGGCGCCGAAACGTACAGGCGCCGGCGTCCAAGAGGCGTGGGGCGCGCCGGGCGAGCCCCTGCTTGCAGGAGGCGCCCGCGAGGCCTTGACGTCCCCTGGCGAGAGTAGCAGGTTAGCACCTCCAGGCCCCGGGAAGGCCCGGGGGGCCCACGGCGGGCGGGGCGGGGGCCGGGCGAGGCGCGCCTCCTATTGGCCGCGTGGCGCCGCCCGTACAGGCAGCCCTTAAAAAGCCCCGCCGGCGCCCGGAGCCGCACTGCACGCTACCCGCGCCGACCCCGCTCTGCCAGCTTCGCACGCCCGCCCGCGCCCACCATGGCCACAGTTCAGCAGCTGGAAGGAAGATGGCGCCTGGTGGACAGCAAAGGCTTTGATGAATACATGAAGGAACTAGGTGAGGCGCCTGGCCTGGCAGCGCCTGCAACGTGGCGTGTGTGTGGCCGTCTGTCCCTAGGTCCCAGTCAGCGTGTCAGGATTCCGGGGCAGGAGATTCTCGGCGGCCTACCCCCAACCCCTCCTATCTTCCCCACCACGCGGCCCTTGGGTGCAGCGCGCGCAGCACCACGCGGGCAGGCGGCGAGGAGCCGGGAGCGTGCGCGCCCCCTGCCCGCCCGCGGGCCGCAAGATTCCGGAGACCGTCCACCTCGTGGTCCACCCACCTCTCTTCTGCTTCTTTCCCCTCTCCCAAACGGCAGACACTCCGCATTGCCTCCTGTCTTTTAGCGCGCGCACCCGTCACCCCACGCTGCACTTTTTTCGACCCCCTCCAGGCGACCCACTGTTTCCCCATTTTCCCCGCTTCACTCATCCTTCCCCTTCCTGCCACCATCCTGTCTCTCCCGTTTACCCCATCGTGGCAGCACCCACTCCCCTTTCCCACCCTGTCGTATCTTTTGTTTCTCTATGGCGTGCAGGTCCCCCTCCCTTTTCCTCCTGGGGACTCGATGCTGGCGCGCGTTTTCCCACAGAAATCCCTTAGTGAGTCTGAGCGGCTCTACAGCTTCAGCTTGTATTCCTCTGTCCGCCCCATCTCCCCCCAACTCCTCTGCTCGTTCTCACCAGTTGAGCCCAACCTTTTGGGTTGACACCCCATGGAACACCGGGGCCCCCGAGAGGCGTGGCGCTGGCGGTGCCGACCTGCTGCTGGCACTGCCGGGCAGGGGCGTCGCAGTGGGCGGGTGGCCTGTGGGAGGAACGGAATGAGGCCGACTGTGCCTGGGGGTGGCCTTGTGTTGCCTTCCTGGCCTCTGCCTCTTGAGGGTGAGGAACAAGGAGGCAGTGGGGCTTTGCTGGAAAACCGTAACAGTAACTGCCTAGCCTTCCTGCAGCTAACTGCCTGCAAGATGGGTGTGACCCTGGAGAAGGCCCTGCAGAACGCTTCTTGAAGCATTCCCTGGGAGAAGAATCTCAGTAGGGAGATTAATTTCTCTCACTCAAAACAGTGCTTCATTATAAATTACTGCCCTTTTCTATGCCACTGACAGAGATTGCCTGCTGGTTGAGACATTGGATAGATTGCAAACAAAAATGGACCTTTGTCACAGGCCACTAGGAAGTGAGATGGAGTTAGCATAGCATGGATCCTCTCTGGAAGGGAGCTTCCAGCGCTAAGGGACTGCTGGGACTTATGACGGTGCTTCAGAAGCCGGTATCCGCAAATGTTAACCTGGTTGCTCGCTGGTGAAATAACTACTGTGACCCTCTACTGATACCCAGTCACTGTGGCACTTCAGAATCACTCCTTCAGTACCCTTTATCCAAGACAATGTGGTGTTAAGGCTGGTTTATGGTGAATATGAGTGTATTTATGATACTATCAGTAAAGTAAGAAGGCAGTATTTTTCTTTTTCCTTGTAAACCTACATCAAGATGACTCTGGAAAAAGCGATTTACTGCACCTGTCCAATAAATATAGTGTATGGGTATGTGCACAAGTTTAAGGCCAGAGAACACTTTTCTCTGCCAGTAGAAAGCAAGTTATGTTTAGGTTTGGAGGTCTTGTTTCCAGGATTCTGGAATCTTGAAGGTTGTCAAGACTCAGTTCATTAGGGAGCAGTCACCATGTAAAAAGAGCAGAGCCATTTATTTGTCCAAAGTGAAAGTACATAATGACTCAACAGCATAAGGCACCAGCCCTGAGCTGGCAAAAGAGAAGGTTCCAAGGGGAATTTTAAAGCCTGGCTGAGTGTTCTTCATCAAGATAATCACGCTGCATAGGTTGTAGTCTCCTTATTTATGAAACAGTGATTTGGCCTGGATCTAAGTTTCCTTATATATGTTAACTCTCAGGGGAAATAGATAGATCATAAATTAATATATAATTTAATATGATATTTTGTAAACGCCTAAATCAATTACTATATTGACTTATACAGCTATGAAATATTTTTTATTTTCAAGGGTAAGATTTTGTTTTCCATTTGTTAGCATCATGATTGTGCTGCTGACTTTTAAAAGATTGTGCTATTGAATATCTCAGAATCAATTTCTATTTTGTGTAGTCTATTAATCAAATATTTATTGAGAGTATTGATATGCCAGACAGACTATGTGCTGGAGTCATAGAATGCAATGGTTGGCAGAATCCAGTAAAAACAAAAAGACCGAGCAAACTCCTGAATTTGCAGTTTTGAATGCTTTATCTCCACCTTCTATCAACTGCTTTGAGTAAATAAAATTTGGAAGTCTGCATTTCTTTGCAAACTTTCTGAAAACACGCGTAGCATGGTGGCCAAGAGGTCAGATTTGGAGCCAGGGTGCCAGTGCTCTTGGTTCCCAGCTCTGTCACTTCCTAGTTGAGCAGTCTCAGGTAAGTTACTTCAGTGCCTCACTTTCTTATCAATAAAATGGGGATAATAACATCTGCCTCTTACAGGGCTGTTGTAAGGCTTACCTGAATTTAATCTATGTAAAGTGCTGGCTCATAGCGTGAGATATGTGTTTACAATAGTTATCAATAAGCAAATAAGTGAAAATATGCTGTACAAAGTGATTACAATGGAATTACTGCTTTTATCATGTAAATGATGTCTTCCCATTATTTAACATGACTTAACATTCTACAGGAGTGGGAATAGCTTTGAGAAAAATGGGCGCAATGGCCAAGCCAGACTGTATCATCACTTGTGATGGCAAAAACCTCACCATAAAAACTGAGAGCACTTTGAAAACAACACAGTTTTCTTGTAACCTGGGAGAGAAATTTGAAGAAACCACAGCTGATGGCAGAAAAACTCAGGTCAGTCATGACATGTTATAAAATCACAGAAACTTCTAGAATGCTAGGCTATATTAACATTTTTACTGTTTATAGGCAAGAACTTAATGAAAAAGTTATTTTATGAATTGAGTTTTATCAAATTAGTAAAAGTATCAACTTCATAGAATTAGCATTTTTTATTAGCTACTAGATTGAAAACCACAAACTATTGTGACTAAAATCAATACAGGTTAATGACGTAGGCTCAGAAAGCAGAAGGTGAAAAACATATGTTGATTAAAGAGGTTATGAGTAACAGAAACTCTTGTAATGTACTTGGAAAATTAAAAAGTTTACTTCATTTTTGCAGACTGTCTGCAACTTTACCGATGGTGCATTGGTTCAGCATCAGGAGTGGGATGGGAAGGAAAGCACAATAACAAGAAAATTGAAAGATGGGAAATTAGTGGTGGTAAGTGTTACACAGTTGTGTCTTAGTTGGCTTCTTGTGTGCATTCATAGTTCACATAACTGTTCTATGTCATTGATCATTAACAGAACTAAGTTTGGGAAGAAAATAAGGCAAAATAGCAAGTTAAATACTAGAACACTGATTATTAAGAAAGCCCTAGTAGGGACAAAGAAGTGACATGACATAGAGGATTTGGCTGGAGCGGGGGCGGGGGAGTTCTTGCTTTGCTGCCATACCACAGTGTAATCCTGGCAAGCCACCAAACTGCTCTCTTAGGCACACATTTTTCTATATCTTTAAAATAAGGAATATTTGCCATGACCAAAAGAATAAAGATATATTCAACATGTTAGTTTTCAGTAAAACATGCATATTATTGGCAAAACAACAGCTTCTAGCATCTCTCAAACCCATGAATCCTGAATCTCCATCTATGAAGTAGATTACATGATTTCATAGGACACTGATTCTAATGTTTTAATACCACCACTGCTCTGGAATGTAAGACTAACCTAACTTTTTAATATCTTTCCTTCTCCTAGGACTGTGTCATGAACAATGTCACCTGTACTCGGATCTATGAAAAAGTAGAATAAAAATTCTATCATCACTTTGGACAGGAGTTGACTATGAGAATGAACAAGCTCAGTTCAATGAGCAAATCTTCATACTATTGTTTCTTTCTTTTTTTTCTCATTACTGTGTTCATTTATCTTTATCACAAACATTTTACATGGAGCTATTTCAAAGTGTGTTGGATTAATTAGGATCATCCCATTGGTTAATAAATAAATGTGTTTATGCTAATACATGTTGTATGCATTCTTTAAACCTTACAGGAAATTAGTGTTGAGTTTTAATAATTATTGAGTAAATGCTGGGGTAATCTTGAGGATGCCATATTGAGATGACACTAGCAGTTTATATAGATAGCTACTCTTACAGGAAATACTATATCACTCATTTAAGCTTGCTCTATACTGTTTGAACTTTGTATGAACTCAAGAATCTTGAATTTCTGGCAGAGACCGTTCTCATTAAAATGTAGCTACTATATACTCTTTATGATTCAAATTAGAGCAAATGTTTAACCACCATTGACTAAAATACTTTTTGTGTTTTTATATATAAATGTAGATAATATACTATGTATGGAATAACTAGGATTCTAGTGAATCTCTATTCTATTTCTCTATCCCCAACACAAATATCCATAGTTCACATTTGAAGAAGCAAGCTGTTGGCCCTGAGCTAAAGCTTTGCATAAATGATCTTTAGGGCAACTGTCAAAGGACTGGTATGATTATGTCCATTCTGCAACTAAGAAAACAGGTTTTTGACTAGCTAACCAGTTCAAGGACAGGAGGTAGTAGAGCTGGATTAATGACCTATATCTCATCAAGTCTACCCAATGTGTTCAGTCATTCTACAACACTGCCTCTTTGCAGCTTGTACAGAGATCTTTAGGTCTAAAGTCCTTAAATGTATTAATTGAGACTTCTGAAACCACCCTCTATGTGCAGAAATGTTAACTGGTAGGCATTTTTTCTTAAGAATTACCCGTAGCTAGCAGTCAGTGGAAGTGTTCAACTCACTGATACTCTAGTCCTGTGCTGTCCAATATGTAGCCATGAGTCACATATGGCTATTGAACCTTTGAAGTGTGGCTAGTCTGAATTGATATGTCTATATGGGATTTCAAAGGCTTAGTACAAAAAGTAAAATGCCTTATTAATGACTTTTTGGTATTGATTGCATATTAAAATAAATACAGATTAGTAAAGTTAATTTTGCCCATTTACTTTTTTAATGCAGCTAGGGAAAATGTAAAAATTGCATGTATTTTCATTTTTGTGCCATATTTTTTAATGGACAATGTTGTTTGCGACTTCCTTTCTATGTGAATTTCAATCTTGCTTGTTTCAGTATTTAGGGTTCTTCTTTCATCCACATTTTCTGCTTCTCATAATCATGTACATTTATTGACATTCTCCTGGAACTAAACACTGGGCCGCACACTTTAAAGTGTTTAATTAATTCTCAGAGCCATCCTAGATGATGTACATTCACTATGGTTTTTCCACATTGTGTAGATCAAGAAACTAAGGTCCAGAGTTTAGGTAATGATCCCAAGCCATACAAGTACTACAAGTCAGAGAGCAGACTGGAGCACAAGTTTAGCTGATTCTACAACCTGTGCTATGTTAGCTGCCATGTTCTCATACCTATACTGCTTCAGATTATGGGCTGGAATATCACCTGAGGGACATTAAGCTCATGTTCCTTATATGGGGAAGCCATTGACATTTGGATTGGGCTGTGGCAAGCATCATAGGACCTTTAGCATGTCATCCTAAGATCATGGCCATAAAATGTCCATGGCACCCACCAGTCTACCCTAAACACTTAGTCCATTTTCAGGTGTCATTTAAGGGCATGGCTCCCTACCTAGTTAAGAACCACTGGGTAGAACAAGGGTATCTCAACCTCACGGTATCTGTTGTCATTAAAGCTCTTCCTTCTGCTAAGCAATTCTTTAGGGATTGACCCGTCATCAAAAGACCTAAAACCAGTGCCATTGAAGATTAATTTCTATTGCCTCTTAACTAATGGTATGCTGGAATGCATTATTTTTAGTTCTACAACACACAGGATTTCAGGGAAGTTCACTTTTATTACAGATCTATCATATCCGATTTCTTTTGCTTCAATGTTTAGTTGCCAGTAACCTACTAGACAATACCCTATGAATGAATGTCTCATTTCAAACTAGTTTAGTCTTTCTAAAATGTAGTGTGACAATTTAAGTACTTGGGGTGTGCAGGCAGACAATCCTGGGATCCAATTCTGACTCTAATATTTGTATGACTTAGGGTAAGTTATTTAACTTTGCTGAACAATAGTTACCCTCTTTGTAAAAAGATACATTACCTGAATCATAGAGTTGTTTTAAATATTAAATTTGGCAATGCATGTGAAGCACTTAGCACAGGACCCATAATATAGGAAGGGCTTAATGTCCCACAAGCACTGCCCAATATAACTTTATGTGACATGGAAATGCTCTTTAATATCTGCACTGTCCACTAAGGAAGCCACCAGCCATAAGTGAGTATTGAGCACTTGAAATGTGGTGAGTGCAGCTGAGGAACTGAATTTTAATTTAATTTTTATTAACTAAAATGTAAATTTAAGTACCCACATGTAGTTAGTGACTATTAATTTGGACAGCATGGGATGTTTCCAAAATTGAAATTCTTACGTTTTAAAATTTCAAACCTGTTCCTCTTGCGGTATTCTCCCTCTCAACCCATGGGAATGTTGCTTTTCCAATGTTCAGGCTAAATGTCTAATCTTTGATTCTTTCTTTCCCATGTTATATCTAATCCATTAGCAAATTATTTGTTTTGCCATCAGAATGTACCTATAATTGAATTGGTTTTCCCTCTTTCAGATACCACCTCATTCAGATATCACCATCATCTCTCCCCTTCTCTGCCATTTTGCACCTTTATCCTCCCAAAGCTGTCATTTAAAACACAGGTTAGAACATGTCATTCCTCTGTTGAGAACCCTCCACTGGCCTCTCATTTCACTAGGACTAGAAGCTAAAATCTTGGCAGAGTTTCTATCTGACTTGCCTGTGCCTTCCACCTTCCCAACGCCCCATCCTGATTTCATCTCCTGCAGCTGTCCACTCAAACACTTCCTCAGACTTCTGCCAATGTTCATGCAAATGTGCTCTTGCCTCAGGGCCTTTGCAACTGTTTCCTCAGCCTGAAGCACTCTTCCCCACGCAGGCTGCAGCCCACACTTTCTCCCTTCCTTAGAGTCTCTTCCTTCAAGGCCACCCTAGCAGTGAATCATTCCCAGACCACATGATGTATCAGAGCTGCCACTCCTCCCTCACATTCCCAATTCCCCTAAGCTGCTTTATTTTTCTTCATAGTCCTCACCTTTAACATCAATTCTGACTATCCATTTAATTGTTTTATTTCTTAATTTTTTGGTTATTATCTGTCTCCTCAATGGGAAGTAAGTCTTATGAAGAAGGTACTTTGTTTCTACCAGTGCACTCTCTGTCTCTCTATCACACAATTAGGGGAGAACTTGACATACAAAAGATGCTCCATATATATTTGTTAAATGAACAAATTTTTAATAAATTAATGGATTCTTGACATCTATTTTACACATTTTTATATTATTTAAGACCAGTTATGATATTGCTTCAATCAACTTTATTTATTAAATCCATATTCTTACCTTCATACATGCCATTCAACTTTAATCAGGTCTCTTACCCCAGAAGTGGTGTGCTTGATGACTGTGGGATAAGGATGTTTAAAATAGGAAGTAAGGAATCTAGCCTTGCTTCCAAACTGGTATGTAATGACACTCTGGCCTACCAAAAATAGGCAAAAAAAAAAAAAAAAAGCACACTACTACTGGGGTAAGTTTTGATCAGTGTATACAATTTATTTTACTGCAGCCCGACACTCTGCTAACAGGCAATATCTGTCAAGCAGAACTGGACCTGAGGTGTTTGTGGAACATGGTGCAGATTAATCTGATTTGCTATCAGAAAGATGGTTTAACACAAGTCAACCCCTCACTAAAGAAAAAGACACAGGAGAAAGATGACAACTTTTGGATTAAGTCCTTGAGCAGCATGAGGGCATCAACTGTTCTCTACAAGCGAAGTCCACATGCCTGAAGATGAATGGTTGTAGTGAATTGCTACTATGGTACTAGTGATTTTGATGTGTCTATTGCTAGCATAATCAATGATTTATTGAGTCTCAATCTTTTCAACTGTTTTCTCAAAATTCTGGTATTTGAAATTGTGCCATGACCATGAAAAGGTGGAGAACCATCTTTTTGGCACCTAGATTTCAGAGCTGCCAAGTCAACTTAGGCTATTACTCAATTCTTGCTGATTATAAACCAATGATTCTGAATGCCTGTTCCATTTTAAATTCACTTTTGAGTTCATGAGAATAATTATAGTGCTTCCCTGGGTTTCATGAACTCACTATTCTCCTTTTCTAATACTACCATCTTAGAATTCACTGCTGTTTGGTGGGTCATGTGTGATGTGGGTTGGTAGAAAGGGCTGATGAAGCTGGTGAACTGGTTTGGAAAGCTGGGTGACACATATTTTGAAATGTTGTGAAAGGCAAAGTGGTATGACTTGCAGCTGGTCACACAGCAACTGGAAAATAACTGGAGTCTTACGATATCTGGTCTGCCAGCCTCTGCCACCAGATCATATGTAAACATTTGCTTAGGATACAGTCTCTTTCTTCCTCCCAATGCCTCCTCCCTTCATTCCTACTTCTCCCATACTGCACACTTGGAAAATGTCTGAAAAGAGAATAATTCTTAAGGGGTGTTTTTTAAAGGTGCTGGCAACACATGGCATGGTGAACAAAATAGAGTAGGGCAAAGATTCTTTCTGATGGAACTGACTTTCTAGTGTGAGATGATGTGTTTAGTCTGTCCTGTACTGCTGTGACAGAATACCTAAGACTGGGTAATTTTTAAGTACAGAAATTTATCTCTTACAGTTCTCAAAGCTGGGAAGTCGAAAATTGAGGGACCTGTATCTGGTGAGGGCCTTCTTGATGCATCATCCCAAAGTGGAGGGTGGAAGGACAAGAGAGAGTAAGAGCAAGAGGGGGCTGAAGTCACTTTTACAACAAGCCCACTCTTGCGATAACCACCCTTTCCAGAGATAATGACATTAATCCATACATGAAGGCAGAGTCTCTGTGACCTAATCACCTCTTATTAGACCCCACCTCCC